AACATATTATATAAAAACAGAATTTACAATTGAACAGCAAATAGATGCTTTTAATACTTTATATGATCCAAATTTAGTTGAAGAAATCTTTCAACTTCCCACAACGTTGATAGTTTATTAAAAAATGAAAAATTTATTAAATTTATTCGATGGACAATAAATTATTTAAATAATTTTGAAGATAAAACAATAGAAAATATTCTTCAGATCGTTGAAAATATTTTACAAAAAATAAAAAATAATAATCTTAAATTTTTACAAATAGTTTTTTCTTACAAAAAAAGAACAAAATTAGATATTGAAAAACAAGAAATCGAAAAAGAAATTTCTTTAACAGAGTTATTATCAGCTGTAAAACTATGCATTAATTTATCTTCAGAGATAGGAAAAAGCATTTGAATTTTATATAAGTTTAATAAAATTAACACATCTTACAGAATTAAAAGATTTTCGAGGAGTTTCCGATGAAGAATTGAGCGAAGTAAATGCCAGTTGTAATGTCCCTACTTAAAAATTTATCAGAATCAGAACATATTTAAAAACTTGATAAAAGTTTACACAAATCAAGAAATACAATACCTTTAGTCTCGTCTAAAGTGAATGACTTGATTGATAATTACCAGAAAAATAGACAAGAAGCTGTTGAGTATTTAAGAAAAAAAAAATAACGAATATAAAAAGTCAGCAAAAAACTAATGTTATTTTTAAAGAGAAGAAAAATTCATTAAAATTATTTGATGAATTATTTTCTAATATTGTAAATCTCGATGATAATATTCGAATTCTTATAGCAAATAAATTAAGTCTAGTATTTTCTGATAAACAATTAAATTTTTGTCTTTTTATGAAGAAAATTTATCAAAGAATTGGAAAAAGCTGTATGTTTACTTTAAAGAAAAACTTTGAATGAAATTATTATTAAAAGAAAAATTTGAAGAATTTTTTTAAATATTATAAACAAGATAAAAATATTGAAGAAATTTTATCTGATTTAGTTGATATTTTAAATTTATATGAATCTAAATTAAATAATCATCTAGAAAAAACTGTTAAAAATTTATCAACGATTCAAGATAAGAAAACATTAAGAGATTTAAAAGAAAATGTTTTAATTAATTTAATCGAATCTTACAGATTTTTTACTAAAAATCAACAAAATTCTATTAAAATAAATATGAATAAATTTGATTCTAATGAAGAAAAACATATAAAGAATTATGAAATTGTATTAGCTTTCCTAGATCAAGAATTAAAAGAAAAAACAAATTATGTTTAAAATATTTACGAAGGATTTTGTGAATATTTTAAAAAAACATACTTCTATTTCAAATTTACAAAACAAAACAAATCAATTTAACAGTTTAATTCATTTAATGAAACTTATTAGTAGACCACATCAAGATAGTTTATATCTTCATGCTAATAATGTTGATCATGCACAATTTCAAGTGATTTTACTTTTTATTTTATTTGAAAACAAAAACTTATTAAATAATATTAATAAGGAATTCATTGTGTTTTTATCTTGGTTATTTCAAACACTTTCAATATATGGATCGATAGAAAAAATTGAAGATATTAATATACAAATAAATCATATTGAACAATTACAGAAATTATCAATAAATGTAGACAAGTTATGTAAAAATAAATATAATAAGCAGTTCGATTCATATATAAATTTATGATTGAACATATCGATTTCTACTATTTATCAAGAAATTAAAAAACTATATGAAAATTGCATGTAAAAACTATTCAAATGCAAATTGGTTAGAAATAATTATTTATTTTTTGGACTATTTTAAAGAAAATACGAATGAAATGTTAAATCTTATTCCAAAAGAGCCAAACTCAATTAAAGATGATGAGCTTAAAAACATTCAACAGGTTATTTTTCAAAAAATTTCTTTACTATAAAAACAAAAATAAGAAAAAATTTTATCAATTAATATTAACAGATCAACAAAATAATTCTGTCAAAGTTTCAAAATCAATTAGAAAAAGGTTTTAAAGGATTAAATGGATATTTAAATGATGGAGAAAACTGTGATTCTTTTGAGAAAATAAATCCATATTATGTTTTAAGTATTAATAGTTTAATTAATACATTTAATGATCGCTTAGAAATTGATGATAGTCTTGTAATAAAAAAAGATATATATTTATAAAAGTACAAAAAATGTTTATGCTGTTTTGAAGATATTCGTTTAGCCATTGAAAAATGACCATCTTCACCTCAAATTGAATGGTTAAAAACAATACTAATAGAACATATTATTGAAAAATATAGTTTAATATTTTCTCATGAAAATCAAATAGAAAATCTTCGAAATATTTTAATGCAAATAAATGTAAGATTATTAATTTTATTAAATAATATGTTTGTTAGTCAATATATTGATCAAATAAATCAAGCTATTCATAAAAATAATAATATTATTCCTGATTATAAAAAAATTAATAAAGAAAAGTTTCTTACAATTGTAAATGTAATGAGAAAAATACCACTAACTTAAGAAATTTTAGATCAATTATCTGATGCTTCATTTGCAATTTGGGATACACTTATATATGAAATAGAATTTTCTCAAATTTTTAATACAGAAACGAATAAATGTGGTATTGAAAATAATGATAAGTTTTTAAAATTTTTTCAGAATATTTCAGAAAAAAAAAGTAAAACCGAAGGAGAAAAAAAATATTTAACACTTAAACGATCTATTAAACATTATTCATTATCAAATATCTTTTAAACAAGCAAATATCATTATTCTAGAATCTGCTTATTTAAATTGGTATAAAGAAATAGAAAAAATACGTTTATCTCGTTATATCAATAATGATAAATCTGATCGTTCAGCAAACGAAATAATTGAACAAATGATTGAACAACAAAAGAATAGTACTAATGTTATTTGAACAGAAATTCTTAGAAAAATTGCTGAAGAAATAGAAATATTTCGAGAAGAAGCTAAGAAAATTAATATAAGAGAAGGAGATGAAAAATCTTATATTAATAAAAAAAAATTCAAAATATATTTAATCTTATTTAAACGAAATTATTCCATTAATACTTTATACTTGGTCAATTGCTAATAAACCTCAATTTCCAAAAAATAATCAAATAATTGCTTTATTACTTTTTATTTATAGTTATGAAAAGGTTTAATTGAACAAGTTCAAACAGGTGAAGGTAAAACTCTCATTGTAGTATTGACTGCTGTATTTTTCGCTTTATGTGGAAATGCTGTTGATATTGTTTCGAGTAATCGTAATTTGGTCATAGAGGGAGAGAAGAAATGTCGTTCGTTTGGGTGTGGGTGTAGGTGTCTCTATTGTTCTCCTTCTACACCCACACTCACACCCTAGATAAGATAAGTAATTAAACTCGTTGGAGCTATTGAATTTGGAAGTAGGCTAGTTTCCAAGAGAGAAAAACACTTTTAATAGGAAAGGCATTATGAAATTGATTTCAGCATACCAAGAATAAGTTACCATTTTAATCTCGACTATAAGAGGTTGAAGGTGTCAACGAATATATACTCATATAAATACTTACACATTTTATCAGAAAGTTTCCTTATTATTTCTCAACAAATATTTAATTATTTGGTTAGAAATTAAATGTGTTACTGCAATGATAACGTGCGAAATTTTCATCATGACTTTCTCTCATGTCGATATTGTAGTGCTTACGATAACGCCTCGATTGAACCAGTCATAAGGGGACTATCATTCTACTAAGTCGAAGCAACACGATCACTTTTCCACAGATTATGAATGACTGCCTCAAAACCTAAATCAATGTTGTGTAATTTCAAGTAAACGAAATGAAACAAAAAGTAGTGTAAGATTTTTTATTCTCAATTAGTTTACATAAACAAAAAAAAACAACAAGAATCTTCATTTATCTAGTTCATTGTTTTTCATCGATCCAAAAAGACATTGAAAAAAAATACCGATCATTAATTTGACATATAAAATTATTTGCATTTTTGGTTTTCAAACGGCAACTGTGTTTCTTTAACCATTCATGCGTCACTTTAATTTTGTGACTCTTCTCAAGATGATTACTGCCAATAAAAAATGAACCACTAATTATACTCTTGAAATGTTCAATAAGAAATACAATTTGATGTTTCGAATTAATCGAAGCAGTTAATCGTTCGACACATGGAAAAACTTTATTCCAATTGAATTTATCTTTTCCTTTATATTCTCCATATTGTGGTAACGATAGTTTTCGAATTTGTGGTAATGAGATATCAGGGAAATAATATTTATGTGATTCACTGGGATAGTTACAAATTAAACGAAGATGATTAACAGAAGGCATTGCTTTTTTAATAACTAGCACAATTTTGAGTAACGACCATTCAGATGTTTTCACAACTAATAATTGTACTTTTGATAAATCAACGATATTCACCTTTGTATAAGGATCATCAAGAATAAGCTCTTTAACATGATTGTAACGAAAGGGTAAGTTCCATTGATCTGTTTGAAATCTTAATTGAGTAATACGATCATAAAACACATGATGTTGCTCAAGAGGTAATGTTGTACAATCAGATGAGATTGGAGGAGATGAATCACTGATTGTAGTTGGAGCAAAACAGGGTACTGTAAAGAGAAGTGAACCACTTAAACCAATAGCCACAAACCATTTTTTATTAATCCAAAATGGAGAACGAAATGGATCAAGTATTTTTTCATCGATGTCAATCGAAGAGAATTTAAAATCAAATGTCTTTAATTTTGGTAAATATTTGACAAGAAATTTTTCCCATCCTTGAGCATTAAGAAATGGATGTTGAACACCACCGTGAACAATTAATTCTAATTGTCGTAAACATTGTAATGAAGACAACAAACTTTCGAAATAATCGCGTGTTACGAATTCACCTGAAATAAAAAATAGTAAGGCTCTTTTTATATTAGAATTTCAGTGCTTACCAGGCATATGAACAGACAATGACAAAGAAACAAGAGCAAGTGTTGTTGATCGACCCTGATGAATATGAGTAAATATATGGATTTCTTCGGGTTCAAATAATAGCAATGACGTCTTTAGTGTAGTAAGCTGAGGAGCATGATGAAAGAGATATTGCAATAATATAACAGGACAGTCAAGCAATGATACATGACGTAGTTGTTCAACTGAAATGTTATTGATTCGTCTTAGCACATCGAAGTGTACATCTGATGGAGTATTAATAATGAGTTTTTTCAATGATGGTCCAGTTTTAATCGATGGAAAATCAATTCCAACATCGATTTCCAAAGAAACAAGATTTGGAATTTTATACAGATAAGAGCATAATAAATGATCGTCGCCGTTTGGTTCAATTAATTTTAATGCTTGTAAACGAGTAAATTGTTGAATTGAAAAACGAGATAGAAATAATTTTGATTGATGAGGTGTTTCACTATCATCGGACAAAATTAATGAAATTACTTGTTCTGGTCGAATAAGACGGCATACAAGATCAAAATCAGATTTACGAATTGATTGAAAATTAATTGAATAATTTTTGTAGTTTAATAGAATATGATCGAGACGGTCACTTATGTTATAAAATAAGTGAAGAATTTCATGAGCCAATAGGTACTTAAAAATTTCATGAAGAATTTCGATTTGAAATCGATCGAGAAAGAAAGGCATGATGATCTAGACAATAAGAAGTTATTGCACAGTGAAATTTAAAAAAAAAAAGAATCATGCGACTATTAAACAAAACATATATATAGCCAGTGAATGATATAAACATATGGAATGTACAAAGCTGCCGACTTTCATAACCAATCAAAATAGCTATCTATGAAGAGAGAAAAAAATTCATTCATTTTTTGTCAGCTTAGGTAGGTGTTAGGTCACAGATTGAATAATATGATTTTTATCGATTCTTTAATGAATGAAATGGAACAAAGAACTATCTTTCAAGATCATCTGTATTCGATATGACAAGTGACTAAATTTAAAAGCAAATAATTATTCGAATTAGAACGAGAATTTTCTTCGAATATGTATGTATCATGATTGCGTCGAATTGAAACAACAAGGTATCTTAGTTTCACCAAAAAGCAAGTGAATGTAAGATTACTTACTTTTTCTCGTCTTTTTTATGTAGTTGAATTTGGATTTGGTATCAAAAGCGTCGCATTAAGTATTAAAAAAGAAACTTACAAATCTATCATATAATGCAAATATCAAAGTAAACACTAAAGAATCTAGTCCAATGTAATGAAAATCAAAAACGAGATATATATATATCTGTGTACAGATACACATTTAAAAGATTATTATCATCATTTCCATATAAAAAAAAGAAGCTGAGAAATAGGTTTGTACGATTTCCAGTCATTCGACAGACTCTTAATCGTGAACGTTTCAGAATTCTAGATAGTTGATCATATCTGTAACTGATGAAAGTTTCTTGCATGAATTAAAACATAAAATTGTGCATTATGCTTCAAGAATAACAATGATTTCGTGCTTCACTTATAAAATCGAACATAGGAAACTTGATAGAACTCTTCTTGTTACTAAATAATTAAGTTATACTAGACCGTGGTAAATCCGACATCCTATGAAATCTGTACATGTAAGTAACTAAATAGTAAATTATTTTGTAATTCATTTACGTCATGCGTTGTATATCATTGGATTTCACACAGCTTACGTAATCAAAATTGAGGGTGTGGGTGTGGGTGTGGGGTGGGTGTGGGTGTGGGGTGGGTGTGGGTGTATGGGTATGAGTGTGGGTGTGGGTGGGTGTATGGGTGTGGGTGTGGGTGGGTGTATGGGTGTGAGTGTGGGTGTGGGTGTGTGGGTGTGGGTCTGGACCTGTGTGGGTGTGGGTGAATGTGGATGTGTATGTAAATCTTCTCTTTAGCAACACCCACACCCACACCCTTAGATAATCATTAAATTTTTAAATCCAAAAGTAAACTTTTGAGTTTTATATTTAATCAAAAAGTTGTTTCTTTTTTAAAATTCGATTGTTTACTAATTATATATTGATAAATCATTATTATTTCATTTGTGCACATAATCTTCTAGCTATGTTTGGCATTTCTTTTTTTTTATTACTATATTTATTAGAACCATTGAAATTGTTTGTCAAATGGATTGATGTACAAGTATAAAAAAAAAAGAAAATGTATTTAAGTATGTTACCAAATAATCGTTCACATGCAATATATATATGGGCTGTCGATTTAATCCTTTATATTAAAAAGATCAAACATCTATCAGAAATGAATTTTATGCTTGATATTGAACCAACTTGTTTATTTTATTTGATATTTATTTGTGATATATTTCATATGTTCTCTCTTGTTAAATCTAACTGAATTGTCATTGATATTTCATCGAAATAACAGAAAACAAAAGAATAATGTCAAAGCCAATATGAGAGATGATTTTGTATTTTCTTTTTTTCTTATAAGTTCTACAAAAAAAAAAGTTTAGAACAATATGACACATATCTTGTGAAAATCATCATATTGTCGAGAGTTTTTCTTAAAAAGAAAAAATATAATCATTCAAACGGGTTTGGTGGAAAACGCAGAAAAAAACATGTCGAATAGGAAAATATCGAAAGGAAAACGTCGAAAGTAAAGTGTCGAAGAGAAAAGTAAGAGGAATTTTGTCCTTTCGACGTTTTTCTTTCGATATTTTCCTATTCGACATTTTTCTTTTCTGCGTTTTCCACCAAACCTCGGGGTAATTGGAAATCAATTTTATATTTTTTTTCGTTACTTTTAATTAGCATAACCTATTTATAGTTACGGCCCTGACAAAAAATTTTGAGACAATCAAAAATTGCTCCCCAAAATTTCAATATCCCATTCGAATTAAACTTCATACATGTGGTCAATATGCTTGTGGGTTCAGTTTTGATATTATGCCGTACAAACGCAAAATTTTTGTTTTTAATGTAAAAAATTAAAGAGAACATGACTTGTCCAGCAGCAACTTATAATCTGAGCTAAATGCATCGGACGTTGGCACCAAATGGTGTTCGAGTAAAATGTGACATTCATATTGTGTTTTTTTTTCGCTTTTAGACTATTCTCTCTCAGAAATTGTGGACAATCATACACGGATTCTGTGCGATATTCTGTGAAATTTTTAGGTCGATTTGTTGTAATTCTTTCGAAGTTTTGACCAAGAAAGCTATTACGCTGAAGACTAAAAGTAACGGTAATATGATCGCAATTTGTGAAGAGCTCAATGAACTTTCATCAAGTTTTTAGTTCCAATAGGTACATACAAGAGCTACATAATGGTTGGTTTCTCGACCCATAATGAGCTTCTATTCTTGAATTATAAGGCTAGTAATAGTATGAGTTGCTGCTCATCATAGCTTCTCTCCAACTCAATCTATAAAGGTCAGATTCATGTCGCTGATCTACATATATTATGTAGTATATGTACACAAATTTTCAGTCTTATATCTCTTATAGTGACTAAAACATGAGGCGAATACTTTCGACCAGCTGAATGTGAGTGTAGGTGTTGATTTTCTCTTCATCCACACTCACACCCACACCCGACTTTTTCTATCTTCATTAATAAATGTATGAGATTTTTGTATACTTGATGTATTAAAATAAAACAATCCGTTGATTTGTTGAACTTTTCGGTAACTATATGCGTTATGTTTGACCGGATGTTGGATCTTGTAACACTAGTACAATATATATATATTTGGACCAAGAAAATAAGAATGATTAAATAATGCTTCAATATCATTACACGGCTGCATTCATTTACTATTTTGTCGAATTGCTACTTTTCTACTTTGACTATAAAGATTAGGTACAAGTTTATAATGTAAATTAACCCACGATCGATAAATATTCGTTGTTTCATTATAAAAATTCCATGTATAAAATTCATTACCGCCACCATTTTCCATAAATGAACTTAATGCATCATAGATATTCAACAAAGAAATAATTTTTTTGTACGACCTAATTTACCAGCTTTTGGATCAGTTCGATAATTACCAATATTTGAATCAAAACGAACATAACCACGACGATCGATTTCAAGCATATAACGAAGAGCTATTTTTAGTCCATCATATGTACCATCTTCATCACCAAGCTAACCCATAAAAACAATATCATGTGGACTATAATTAACATAAGTATCAACTGAACGTGACATAATTAAAGTATCTGAACCAATTAATTGACGTAAAACTTGAAATATGTCATTATAATAAGTTGTAAGATAACGTTGCCATGTTACACGAGGATCAAGTACTTCAATTATAAATGAATAAGTACCATCAGCCTATAATAAAAAGAGAACAATAAATATAAATTAACTCATTTGTATTTGATCAAATCATATATTTTTTTTTAAATGTCCGTTTAGTGATGATAGATTGTATATGAGTGAAAGTAACGAAAATAGAACATCTCTATTTTGAATTTGACTTTGATTCTTTATAATGATTATTGATTTGAATAAATTCTTTTCATAAGAATGTATGGAAAAATCGATCGAAAAGTCTCTGCAATTCTTGTTTTCATGGTAACTTTACTGCTGTCTTTCATTTGAAGAGCACTATTTTCGAACAGTCATCATTAGTGTGGATACCTGCGGCAGCGAAATTACTAAGAATTGTCGTAACACTTTCTTCTTTTCTTTCGAAAAACATAATGAAACAATTTACCATATTATGAAATTTTTATTTCGCTAAATATTGTTACATATGCGAAAAAACTTTTGTATCTTCCAATCTCGATAACCTCATCGTCTCCCCAAAACAATTTTTTTCTACAAATCTACTGGTGTCTTAGAACGAGCACTTCTCTTTCGACTTCTTACACAGTTAGAAAAGGAATTTTCGTTTATTCATTTAGATGTTTTCCAATTTGAAAAATTCCGAAATATTCAGCATATATTTATTAAATAAATATTAGTTGAAATTTCCTGAATTCAGAAATATAAGCAATTTTATAGATTTTTCTAGTAAAGCTAGAATTTATACGTTTGTACTTTTGAAGTATACATGCACATATATTCATATATGACATGATGTTATGTTCTATGTCACCAGGTTTTTCTTTTCATATCGAACATGTTCATAGTTTAAATGCATGAATAGGCTCAACAGTATCAATAAGTTGTTTTATTTGACTATGCCACCAATAAACAGCTTTTACATTAAAATAATTTAATAAACGTCCTTATCCAAACACGATTTAATTGTTTTATTAAATAAATAACAATTTCCCCTGTGCATATTTATAAGTAGGTGAATCAATATTAATCATTGATGTCATTCATAAGACAATACGTTATTTTTTTGTCACGAAATCCATCAAGCATATTTCGTACTGTTGGAAATTTATTCGGATCAAATATAAATGTATTAATACATATATTCTTCGCTACTTAGAATCCTTTGAACTACTTAACGCTCCTTTTCATACAGGTTTTATTTATCCGAAAATTTCCCCATAGACATATTCTTCTTTCGGCATTTTGTCTTTCTTTCTTTCGATAATTTCTGTACCAGTCAACTAACCTGTCCAGATTTCCATCTTTTTCTTGAGAAAGCGACTTATTCATGAAAAAGGGCTGCAGGCCAATGGTATTCATGATTCTCATAAAATCACCATGAAATTTAAAGTAGAATC